CTCGTGAGGCGATTTGAAACAAGTTTTTCCTAAGCAAAAATATTATCCGAGGCTTTGTTAACGAGATATTAACGAAAAACCCCGACCAATCAGGGCACGTGGAAGCCCCACTGGGCTAGCAGTAGTCTGTTCATTGCATTTCGTTTCTACTTACTGCTATGGTGAATTGTACACGTGTTTCAGATTAATTTTCGAAGTCGATTTTCTCGAAAATTAAGCCTTAAATGAAAAAATTTTTATTCCATATTTTGTTCTTATTTTTTGATAAGGAATCACTTTGTACTGATACATAATCCCATTTTCGGAAATTCCCGTTCCGACGTCGGGTCACCGTTAAATACTCACGTTCATACGCTATTTAACGTTTCCTCGTTTCCGGACGTTCAAAGGATCGCAAACTCGTGGCCCGACGAATTTATACTCCGTTAACCGTTGGACGTTGGATTTACCGTTAAGGACCCAGTTCTTATTCAGAACCAAATTTCTGATCAGTTTAGTATAAAGTAAGTTTATGACGATAAAAGTTAATTCTAAATCAACTATTATTAAGTTAAAATGTTTTTACAAATAATTTTATATAAATTGAATTATAAACGGTGGTTTAAACTTTATATCTAATAAGTTTTTTTTGTCGATTGTTGCATAAATAAATAATAAAAATCAATTTCTGCGACAGCAGAACTCTTACATGATTAAAAATAGTATCGAGATTCTCGAACGATCCGAAGTTTGCCAATGAAGTTGGACCGTGAACGTCGAACTACAAACTGACTGATCGAGCACAGAAGAAATTGTTTAGACGGAAAGTAACGAAAAAATCACGCTAAATTGGAAACGCTGGTGGAGGGAAATGGTGAAAGAAAACCATCCCATCCCTCACCCTTTTTTTGTAGTTTCGTTTGAATGGCGACTCTCGAATTCCAATTCGTTCCTCGTTTTTTGCGTCGAACGGTGTTTCCATTCGATACAGCATCCGTTGCTTGAATGTAAGGCCGAGAGATTGTTCTCCGAAAAATACTCTCTACTTTCCAATCGAATTTACGATCGGCACTTGTGTTTGCCGAAGCCCAAAACTATCGACGCGCGTTTCGTTTCACGGCCCGTTCGGTTGTCCAACGGGGATAGGGAACAAAGAACGAAACTGTTTCTGTTTGATATACGGATTAAGAGGCTACCCCTCTTTTCGAAACAGAAGAATGTTCGATTTTTTTTTTGCATTTTATTTAAACTTACATTTCGTCTATTTGATTTCAGAAACTATTTATACGGTTTTGTTACACTTATACATTTTTTTTACATTAATATTTGGATTCAATATTTTTGTCATATTAAAAAGTGTGACTTAAATTTATGGTTTCAATGTTTGAAAAAAAATATTTAACCAATATTTTATGTCACTAGGGTTCCATCCATTTACACACTTTCACAGACAGTTCATTCACACACCTTTGTTTCATATTACTTTTATCATGTATAAATGGATTGTTCGAGGGTGAATAATACACGGAAACAACGGGGGATAATCTTACTCGGATCCGAACTTTGCGTACGTGTTTATTTCAGACCGCTGCTGCTGCGTCAGGGAAACCTCTTATCTTTCTATTTCCGGTTGCATGTATAAAGAGGACGTGTCTATCCGTTTCGTAAATGTCACACGATTGCAGATTTCTTTTCGTTCCTTTTCTTGTCTTCCGAAAAGTATTCGGTAGACTTTCATTAAAATGACTCATTTGTAATATAATTATTTAATATTGTTATAGTACTATTCATTGCACAGAATTCACTATTTGGTTACAATGATAACGAATTTGTTTAATATCGATGAACAAAAAAATTTGTTCCTGTTAAAGAAAATCTTTAATTTTTACATTTTTTAAATCCTAGCCAAATTAAAACTTTTATTTTCAAATACATTTTTCTTATCTGTTCTCTAGTTATAATATAAAACGGTTTTTTTTAAAAAAAAAGTTCCACTGTCTATGTTTTAAATAGAACCTGTTGAAAATAAGTTTCGTAACTTTTTCGATCCCTGGAATATTCCCAAAGCTTCACCACACCTCATACATATTGACATGGGTAAAATTCGATAAACAAGAACCGTCAGCGCATTCAGCAACAAGAAAACACGTGTCGCAGATTCAACGAACACGAGTCCCCCTCGTGTTTGTTGTTCTCACGAACGAGAATAATATTGTCTCTCTGGTGGTACGTAATTTCGTTCTGGTTGCTCGATAACCGCGAAAACCTGTTAAATCGACCATTGAATTTCCCATGGCCTTTAACTGGTCTCACCTGAAATGGAACGAAACGGAACGAAGGGATTCTTCTCGAGTGGAATTAGAAAGGAAGAAGGGCCTGGGGTGGAGATTTTCGTCTTTCTTAACCCTTTTCGCTATGGTGGAATTTAACGCTAATTTGCCATCGCTGAAGGGGATTCCGAGCAACAAGCTTGCACGTATTTAGTAAATTTCGATGTATTTAATAAATTTAATATACACCCAGATAACACATGACGCCTCGAAGACGTCCATTTTACGGTTATTTTAGGTCTAAGGCGCCTTTAAGCCGTCTTTAAGGCGTCATGTGCTATCTGACGAGTTTAAACTATAAAGAGTACTTTCTCTCTTTAATAATTCAGAGATTACCTTATGTTTATTTATATTCACTAATCAAAGGGTTGTGTTATTTTCGCGTGAACAAACAGGTGAATTTATTTAAATCTATTCTTCTTCGAAATTGCCTGATCTCAACATTTTCAAATGAATACATTCTCTGTCGATCATTGAAAGCTAAGTACATGTATCATTTAAAAAAAAAATGTTTGAATTGCGTTAATTACAAGGTGCTATAGACTCCCGGTCGACGATGACAAATTCTGAGCGGAAATATCGGTTATCGATATTACCAGCTTTTTGTATCTCGCCGGGACCATGGATGCTGTGTTTTCTTTTTGTAATGGCGGACAGGGGGTGGGGGAATACAATGAAACCGCCGATATTCGCCATTCGATCTAACGCCTCGCGTCCGGAGTCCTATTATATCGCGGTCATTGTCGAATATAAATTGGCTTTCGGCAAAATATTTGTTGAAAAATGTTACTTTTTCGCCCTAGATTTTGTTCCATAACCGAATTTTCCATTCGTCGCTATGCTTTCATTATTCTTTCCTCTCTGCGTCGTTGCGAAAATTCGTACCGGTCGCGGTCTCTCGTGGCTTCTCGTGGAAATAATCTCTATAGTCGTTTTAAAAAAAAAAGAAAATGGTAATCGACCCTCAATTTCGACCACGGTATAAAGAGGGGAGGAAGACCGTAACGAAATGAAAGGACGTCGTATTAAAATGGAATATTGCACGGCCTTAAATGTGATCCTGTGAGAGGAGGGTTCCGAAGAAGTGCGGTCGTTTGAGGTTAAGAAATTCCTTTTACATAGCTCGCGAACTTATACGAACCATTTCATGTTTTATTTACGAAATTGAAGCTGGCGTTTAATTGGGAAGCGTGTAAGGCTCATTGGAGGGATGAATAAAATTTTAAAAGTTCGTTCTTGTCATTATGAATTACATTAGAAAATATTATACTGCATAAAAATCCGCAGTCTAGTCACGACACTAAGTTTCGTGACTTTTGTCATCATGAAAACTGAATTAGATGTCGCATTATCGTGACATTGGTTTACATTATCATGCAATGTCACGACAACAAAAGCCACGCCTTACTGTCACGTGAAAACGTATGTACCTTGAGTGCAACAAAGACGTATCATTAGTACTGTCAGTATTCGTTTATTAATACGGTATCTTCGATGACGTGAGGTCCATATAAAACAGAACAATAATCCTTCGACGTCTGTGCACAGTCGAGGGGGTTTAATCCAACACCTGATCCGTACCCGGTCGCTCGTAGACAACGAATCCCTCCGTACCTCCGGTCAAAGGATCGTCCTAAACCGACCGAAATCTCTTACGAAATTGCCACGGTTAATCAATGGCTGAGACGCCCAGGGTTTCATTACCAGCCGGGGGCCACTTTATTACAGGCTGGTCCATCGTCCGCGTATAGTTCTCAACTCGTTCATCTTTTGTGAAGGGGCACATGTTTAATATCGTCATGGAACACGTCGCTGGGCCGGCGAAAACCCGTAATTAAGACCCACCGAGTGTCGCCACACTTGGTGAACCAGTTCTCGGACCACGGGATCGTTTTTCTTTTTCGGGGGGGGGGGGAGACGGTCAGCTTTTCGGGTCGTTGCTGAAATTGGCCGAATAATCGATATATCGAGCTAACCCGCTGTAATTCGCTGTAACTCGACTGTCACAGAGACCGAAAATCCAATTACGCTCCTTGAGCCCGTGGATCGAATTCAGCCTCGACACAGTCTAATCTCCGCAGCGGCGGCTTCCGATGTTTAACGACTTTATTATTCTCTTGTTACCGTAGCGACTCGCTGACGCTTTGAATGCAAATATACTTGTGTATACTCGGTTGTGTGAGAGGTCACGGTTAATTATACAGGGTGTAATAAAAATGTTGGAGGACTCGGAAATAGGACACTCGTGAGGTGATTTGAAACAAGTTTTTCCTTAGCAAAAATCTTATCCGAGGCTTTGTTAACGAGATATTAACGAAAAATCCCGACGAATCACAGCGCGAGTCTGTCGGCCGAGTTCCCGCGGTAACCTTGGCTACGCGCTGCGATTGGTAGCCAACATTACCGCGGGAACTCGGCCGACAGACTCGCGCTCTGATTGGTCGGGGTTTTCCGTTAATACCTCGTTAACAAAGCCTCGGAGAACTTTTTCGCTAAGGAAAAAGTTGTTCCAAATCACCTGACGAATGTTCCATTTCAGGTTCTTCCAACATTTTTGTTACACTCTGTATACACGATTCATTAAAAAGTAAATACTCTTTCTCCACGATAGAAGCTACGACACTTGCGACTCGGTATCTTCACCAATAAATTCTTACTTTACAATGTTCATCGAAGGAATTCACCACTCACCTGATCGCGATGTACCTCCAGATGGCCAGCGTGAGCGTGATCGCGATGCTGATCGTGTGTAGGGTCTGCGTGAAGTGCATGTGGCATAGGACGAAGACCGCCCAGCCGTAAGGAAATTTCTTTCTCTGTGGCAGCACCATGTATTTATAAATCGCGAATGGTATGTACTCGAGCATGACCAGCATGTCCGCAGCCGCGAGACCGGTCAGTATACGGTTTATAGGAGCGGTGACCATATTTTTCCTGGTCAGCACGATAATGTTCAGCATGTTCGCGAGGGTTCCAAACAGGCAGACAATCAGCGCCACGTAACCGTGATAATGATCCTTGTACTTAACCGCCAGGTCCCGGACTATCCCGTTGCAGTAGCAACCGGTCGGCTCGCTGTTCGTCGTCGTGCTCGTCTTCTGGCTGGTCAGATTCTCAATATTGAAGGTGTTCACGTAGTCGAGGTCGTCGACGGTGATGTTGAAGTTTAGGAACAGGTCGGTGTAGTTGTCTAAACGATTCATGGTGCTCACACGACGGATCAAGGATTTAAGGTGAAGCAGGGTTGCGTTCAGTTGCAGATGACGCCAGGTATTCTCGTAGCGTACGTGACGGAGCATTGCATTCTGGGGTATGGTGGTTGCATATTGCTCGCTGGAGTTCGATCCTCGTGATTCCTTGGACCGAATCCTTTTCAGTCCAGATTTAATTTATGGATATCTGACACGACTTAATTAGGTAAACTTGTGTTTAAGTAGCTTCTTCGGAAAATTGGGCAAAACTTTGTCATTCTTCACTCAGGAAGATCCCGAAAAAAGGTGAATCACACTATTCTATACTTGACCAGGTGCACTGACTAGTCGGCTCGGTTTAGAAGTGTCCCATAGATCTTCCTCGCGGTCGAGCCTTCCTTTTATTATTCCCGGCTGTGCTGTTAGCCGTTCTCGAACTGCCACGGCTGTACTGCCGGTTCTGTTGGATCGTATGTCCCGTTGACGGAGTTTACGCCGTGTGGAAAGGCGTCCAGCTTACGACGCGCTGGGGATGCATTCCTCCAAGGCTCGTAGTATCCTTTAGAAGCTACGTGACTGGATGACTGGTCCTTGAGAACTTTCCCCGCAACCTCGACGAAGGATCCTTGCTCAGAAAAGTTTCTTGGAGGTATCCGTGCACTTGGCCCAGCTAAGAAATCGTCGACCTTCGCTGGATCCTGACGTTTCGTCCGCCACACGTGGCTATTGGGTCCTCCTAGATCGTTCGTTGTTTCGTCCCCTTCCTCCAGGCTAATCCAGCAATCTGCATTCCCTCTTGGCGGCAGGTTCACTCTACAGAATCCATTATGTTCCTCCCTGGAATCATTCTAGATCCCTGGTCCCCCGCCCGGACGATCTTCCTCCTTGTGGTTCCTCTTCCGCCCCCGGGGCTACGATCGTTTTCCCGCGTCAGATAAATCAGTTCGAAGACACCACACCTATCCGCTTACGAGGAACCCTCTTCCACAGGTTTCTTCGATCGATTCGTGGGGGTGCTAGGCTCGATGGTTGCGGATTCTTCCGACGATCCCCACGGCGATCGTTCCCCCTTCATTCCACGGGCGTGCAGATTCGAAACGAGGAAATCCCCGTCGTTCGATGATCGTTTCACAGTTTCCTTGCCGTGGACCAATCTAACCCATGATACACACCCGTCGGACGTCCCCTGGGCTGTCTGTCCCCGAGACGAAGGACAATCCCGGCGGGACACGAACCCCCGCATTAAAGACGACTCTTGACGGATTGGGTGGCTCCTGAGGAACGACGTCTCATCGTCCTGGTGGATCGATCCTGTCTACGAAGTCGCTGTTGCGCGATTCTGAAGGATTCCCTGTTGAACGGACACCATGTGTCACACGTGGAACGGCTTCTGACTATCCCGATTCGGCGGTGATTACGGGGAGTTTCGCTTGAACGCCTTGCGATCCTCTTTTGGGCTCATCCCCCTTCTCCCCCCTCTCCAGAGTCCTTCGCCGCAGGTGCTCCCACGGGACCTCACCTGGAAAAGATTGTTTGCGTTCGATCAGCCGTTGTTGTGGGAAATACTAATAAGCTGGAGGATGAAGTGGAGGGGAGGGGGATGATGGTGTTTGGTTTCCCATGAGGGGATTTGGAATTAAGGAGAACTTCCGGGAGCGGGTAATTAAGTCTTCGATCGGTATGTCTGCCCTTTTGGAAGGGGGCAGTTGCGACAAGGTGATTTTTTATATTGTCGAAATGGTTGTTTGAGTAATTTTAGTTGGAACAAATGTGTTATAGGGTGTATGCACAAATTAGTGGACACTTAAGAGATTTTGTAGGTTTTAAAGTCGAATATTAAATGAGAACAATATTAGTATAAATATTTGGCACATGACAATTAGGTTTTTTAATGTCAATACATTTTTATAACGTATAGATTTCAATTTGAAAAATTTGAGAAATGTAATTAATTATATTAAAAAGAATGAGAAAACATTCCTAGTCAATGGCGTGAAAATTGCGAGTGTAAAGCAGGGAATTGAAGAAATCATTATTTAATCATTTGCCTACTTTAATAACTTAATTTACTTATTTTTATATGTAATGTTATAATATACCATCTGGGGCATGATTAGTGTTAAAAAACGAAAATGTGGGATGATTCGTATGTGTAGAGACAAATCGAGAGTTTATTTGGCTTGTATAAATCCTCTCGAGAAAATCCAGTTGGAAAATTCGTGGAGCACGCGTGCTCGTGAATACGGTTGCCGGGTCTGGTAAATACCGAATATTTCCACTTGCAACGATCTGTGACTGAGGTACGGTACCTTTCACATCGAACTTACTATAGTGTTTTTTTTACGATAGCAACTTGCATATACAATATTTGTTGTGTTGCACAACAAATTGTAATTCTCTGTGTATAAATAGTTTAAATATATATATATATTTTTCAATGCATAGTGTCATCAGACGATTACTATAATTGTGGTATAAACTCGTCGAAACTTTCGAATGAGAAATTTCACGACAGCCAGGACAGAATTTCTTGCCACGTCGCATCTGGCTTGATCTGACAATCTCAAGGGTTCTTCATTACCTCCATAGCCGTTAGTGGGATACCATTTAGAGGACTTCGGCTCTAGGGATAGAAAATTTACGTGCTTAATCACACCTGCGTCACGGTATCAAACTACCCTAGTTTCGAACGGTGCTAAACAGATCTGGAGATCCCTCGAAAACACATCAAATTACTGACACAGATTTATATCTCCTCATCTATAGATATTTATTTTCTTTATGTTATATCGTACAGACTTTCCATTTATAATACCCATAAATAGGAAGAATAAACTTTACAGTCACTAAAAAAACACCCAGCTACTCTCCCTCTGAAGAAAATGTAAGGCGAACGGGCCAGAAAGTAAAAAGATCCTCGATTCCCCGTTGCCATTTAAAATTTAAGTTGTGTTTAAAGTTTAACTTTAAATTATTCATGCGATCCAAATGCACTGTATTTTTGTAAATTCTGCGACTATCGATTTCAAATTTTCAGATAGTGTTTTTTTTGAAGAGTTAAACTTTAAGAAAATGTATTTAAAAAATAATTGAAATTTGTTTAAGTTTCATAATAGAGTTCTCCCTTAATGATTTTGCATACTATCTCTAGTTACAATGTCTCTCTGGGAGCTTTAGAAAGACGACTTTACTTCGTCGCCCGTGAATTTACATGTGAATTCACCCAGTCACACCGTCTCCCGCCGAAAATTCAAACTGCATCGCAGTGGCTGAAATAATAGTTCATTGTAAATGCAGACAGAACCGGGGAACAAGGAGTTCGTCGCGGGTCGGAGCGGAAACGGTGTAATGCGCGCCAGTTAACAACATTCGCCACGCCTGTATTATTTCGTTAGCATTTCAATAGAAACGCTGCGACACGCTCTTGTCACCGGATTATTATAACAAAAGTGTTCCTTGGAAACGGAAACGCCTCGATTCGCTGCGCGCTTTAAGGCAGATGCGCATTACTTACGCTTCGAGTGCGTATACATTACTGAACGTTTGTTATACAGTAAATCCTGGATGAGTGTTCGAAGGTTCCTCGGCACCGAACATTAAATATTTCATAAACTAATGAGCATATGGAACTGAAACAAATATCGCTGAGTTCAGAATTCCATGCTCTATCACTGTGATGTCGAGGAACCTTCGAATACTCGTCGAGGATTTACTGTATACCCGAAAGTCAGTTTGAATTTATCTATACAGTGTCTAGAATCGGGCTTTTATCGATGTATTGAGGGTTCGATATATTTATGACCGGATTGTGGATTGTTTATGTACTAAAGTAAAAAGGTTTACTGAAATTTAATACTGTTTATTAGGGGTGGGTTGAAACCTAATTTTAGAATTTTAGAAACTTGAACCCGAAACTTTGTAGGATTTTATTACCGTCGAAACTTTTGAAACTCGCGAAACTTGGAGTGCTGATTTTGTTTTGTAAGAAGAATATTTCGTTTCGAGAGCTGATCTCGAAACATTTTTGCGTAAAACTTTATTGATTGTAGTTAAACAAAACATAAATGAAAATATAACAATATATTCACTTATCCGTTTTTTTAACACTAACTCTCGATAGTTCAGTAATTCCTACTTTCTAGTATTATTAAATAATATTGTAATACGTAATTGAAAAAGTACAATTTGAAAAAAACTGAGTCAAGCTTTCACGAATCGCGTGCTCCTGACTTGGAAAATCTGCTTATACAAGGTGTCCCATTTAAATCGACCCGTTCGAATATCTCTGAAACTATTCACGATATTAAAAAATGATTTAGACAAATTTTAAATAGTATCAGTTAACTTTGTTTTTTTGAAACAGAATCGTATATTTTTTAATATAAATTCTCGCAATCCGCTTATGACATTCAGAATTTAGTTCAGCAAAGTTACTCTTTTACTTTTAATTCAACTATGAATTTAACCTTATTTCTCTTCAATTCTGCCGGTCACGTGTTACTGCAACAGACATCACATTTTCTCCGTTACAAAAATGAAAATCCTTTTTACACAAAATTCACAAAGACTTCCGATAATCTGAAGTGAATCATTCCTCGAAAACTAAACGCTTCAAAGCGTACACGCGATGGAAGATGGAAACGGGTTTCATAACTTAAAAATGAAGAAAATGTTTCCGCGAAGCTGCCGAGATTAAAGGGGATGGGGTGGGGGATCCTTATCCAGCAAGGAACTAATCCCAAACGACTTAAAGGCTCATTTTTAATAACTCAACTTTTTTTCACTCGTTCCGTGGAAACGTTTTTCGGCTTTGACGGAAGCGCGTCACACAGGACGGAAAGACGACGCGGAGTTTAATCCTACTTTTTTAACCACGGTGGGACGAAAGGAGGTCATCTAGCCCGCGAGTAAATTGAACGGAGCCGCGACAACAGTCGGAAAATATCTACACCCTGGTGGAAGTGTATCTTAGTTGTGGATCCTTCGGTGCTCGACGAATCTCGATACTATTTAAATTGAAAAGTATCGATACTATATTGCTATACACTATTTGACGCCACGTGTATGTACCCAGGGGTCTTGTCTCTTGTGGACGGTTAATTCGAAAC